CCCCAAAACCCCAAAACCCCAAAACCCCAAAACCCCGAATATTATTTGGAAGATTGAAAATTATCATTAAATATCTTCTCTTTTGACTAAATCTTCATCAGCAAGGAAATCAGAGTATGGTCTGATCTCTCTGATATCATAGGTATGATCTTGTACATACAGTTTCTTCTGTCTTTGCTTAGCAAGCGCTTCTAAATTAGGGAGTACTTCATCTGGATTTTCATCAGCCTCTTCATCAATAGCTTGAAGACCATGAGAGTCATTATTGTTCTTTAAGGCCTCTTGCATTTCATTGATCATTCTTTCCATTCGATTAATATACCACTCAATATCATCCTTTACATCTCTATAAGTATTTGAATTTACAGGGTTAGTAATAAGATCTCTGTAGACCTCGATCTCTGCCTGTGTTTTCTCAATAATTCTTTCTAGTTGCTCCTTCTCTAGGTTTACGAAGAAATTATTAGAATATGCTTCATCTTTTTCTTTCATATCTTTTCCTTCTACTTGGACTTTATTCTTGTTCGAAGATCAAATGCTGAGGCAGAGTTTTATAACAAAGTTAAACACAACTGTTTTGAAGATAAAGCATAGGATAAATAAACCAAATGCACAAATATACATGAACATGTGATATTGGTTCAAAGTTTCGTTGATTTTTAACCAAGAATACTGATCTCTTTCTCTGGCTTCTTTACTAGTAGAGCCCCATCCGAATAAATTTTGACTATCTGTGTCAAAAATGGCAGAATTACTGTAAATCCATAGAGAAATGGTGAAATGTATGATAATCGAGAGATTCAACCACTCTCTAGTCACTTTGATTAATGATTTTCCAACTCTCGGAGGCTTCCTGTAAATTCTTAACACTGTGAATTTATCAACCCAATAAGTTAATGTAAATGTAAGGACAAGGAAGAAGTATAAGATTGGCATCCCTGCTCCGAATATCACAGCAATGTAAAACATCGAGAGGATCTGAGAATATCTATATTCCATCATATATTCAGGGCCGATGTATAAAGTCTCATAATCTATTTGGAATAGTTTCTTGGTTCTTCTCTTGTTGCACCTTCAACCTCTATCAAAAAGTCTTTTCAGAGCAAAGAACAGGTGAAATACACTATTGGCTAGATGTGGACCAAAGATGGACAAGAACATTGTCAAGATAATTGCTGTACCAACTTCGTTGTACCAATCACTTGAAAAGTCGTCATAATCTCCAGCAAAGAGAGGGAACCAAGATGGCATAAATCCCATCTTAAAGTTTACAAAAAGCAGCAGAATAGCAGTATTGAAGATTTGTGCAAGGAACATTTTGAAAGTGTTTGATACCACTTCACCTGTTTTGTCATGCCTTCTTTCATACTTAGAAGCGATTCTTAAGACTACCTTAACAGCAACATTTATATTTGCCATTACAAATGAGAGAATGTAAATAAGTGATGTAGAGAGTGCGAATTCAGTATACCAGGCATCGCAATACTTTCCACCATCACTAAAGAGAGTATTCCTAACTCCAACTCCTTTGTTGTTATATTCTTGAAGTCAGTAGCAATGCATGAAACCAGTTCTATCTCTAGAAGCACGGTTATAGTCCTTCAAAGCTTCTATTGATGTCAATGTAGTTGAAGGTCAAGTTGAAACATTATAGTTATTGTTCAATGTTCTCTGAGCGCTCTTCATAAAGATCATAACAACAAAAGATATAAGAATGATCAGTAAACTTAATGCAGTGATCAATGAGAATCTGACACATCTTTGAGTTTTACTGACTGATAAGTTCTCCCATAAGATCAAAGACGACTTTGGAGCATCTGTAATGGTCAACCATTTCCCCTGAATTTTCTTAGCTTCTTGAGACTTTGACCCTCAACATCTTCTTAATCTTGGGTGGTGGAACTCTTTCTTGACTCTTTCTTTTCCCTCCATGCTTTGCATTGTAATGAAAACTTTGACTGCATTTATATCACTTTCACTTCTCAACTGTTTAATCTTCTCTTCATTTTCACCGTGCTTTCTTTTAACTTTCTCTCTTTTCCTTTGAATTTCTTTCTTTTTCTTTTCCTTGACCTCTTCAGTACATTTAGCAATTTTTAAGAGACCTTCTCTTAAGGCAAGAATCCTGTCTTGCTTCTCATAATTAAGTCTTTGTTTGAAATAATACATGATTAAGTATTTATCCAAGGCAACATTCAGTTGGGCAATCTTGTGAGCATTTTGATCATCTTCATCTAGAACTGCCAAATTTGGACTATCTTCTAATACCTTCTCTATATGTCTCCAGATTTGGACTTTTAAGACTCTGTAGTCTTTGTGAGGAGGTATGTTCGCAACTTCGATAGTAAAGTCTTCGCCATCAAGGACAATTCCTTCTATTTCTTTCTCTTCCAAGTCTTCATAGCTCCCATGGACCTGTAAAGCTATCCATAAGAAGAAGCAAATGATGATGTCAAATGATACTACAATATAGCCAATGGTCTCTTTGTCCGTTCCCAGAACTTTCTCTGATTCACATGCTGCTTTCAAATAGAATTTGATGGAACTTGAGCAAGAGGAAGGCCAGGTTATCTGACTTAAGTCAAAATCTCATATTTTCTTGCCTTGACAGTTACTTAAAAAGTAAGAATCCAATTCGGAATTAGCAGTTGCTCCAAGAGTGCTAGCTGCATATGATCAAGATGAGTTCACGGCTAGATAAGCTCCATTTGATTTACAGTTACTGTTACTATTTCTTGAGTCTATTGTTCCAGCTTCTTGAACATTGATAAGAGTTCCATATGTTCAAAATAAGCTGACTGTTTGAGTATTGTTATCAGCACTAGAGCAAGAAGCTGTAACTGTACCCAGATTTCCTATTGTTGTTAGTGATAGCATTGTCTCAAATGATGGATTTGTCTTGAATTCACCGTCTGATCCGCTGATAAAGAACACTATGGATGGGATTGCAAATATAGTAGCAACGATAAACATTCAAATCAGATATTTTAGAAATTTAAAATAAAGTCAAATTCCAACACCCATTTCTTTAAGATCTGACTTTCTATATTTTTGAGAAGGCAGGTGTCAACCAGTCTTAGCCCTACAGATAGGATACTTTTCTAATTTTCCATCTACTAAGATTCTCGGATGTGCCCGTTCAACAACTTTCTTCATCTTCGTATAACTCAGCCCATTATCAGCATCACGGATAAACTCTTCCTTCTCTCCATCATTCTTCTTCACCCTAGCATTCTTCAGCACCGAAACCTGCCTCATAAACGCTCCTGAGTAACTTTTACCCCCCAATTCCTCCTCTCTCACTTTCTCTACCCCACCTTCACTAAAATCCTGTTCATAATACTCCTCTCCTAGCACAAGTGCATCCAACTCCTCTTCATCAAACTCTTCATCTTTCCTCTCTTCCTTCTCATCTGCTTCTCCAGTCTGGGCTTTCTCCTCTTCTGACTGGTGAAGCTCCTCTAGACTTTGGAATGCGTCTAGGGAATCTAGTTGATCAGGGTCTTTCTTGGTCTCTTCTGCATGGATATTTGGGGTGCCGGACCGGTACGAAGAAGCGACTTTACTAGACATTAATTAATTTATTTAGAATTACAATAGGGAGAATTTATAACGGGGTTTTGGGGTTTTGGGGTTTTGGGGTTTTGGGG